GCGTTAAATAATAATAATAATATACCTAGGTACCCGCACCACCAGCCCGACGCACTTGTTTGTCCGTGTGTAACTACAAAATACATATTATTATGAGCGCGTGCCAAACACTATATACTATATACTAACTATATATAAGCGGTCGGTAAATAGAAAATCTCACCGTTGGCCAGTGTCGCCGATGTGCATAAAAACCCGAGTCTGTTTTCTAAACGTCCGATTGCGCAATAATAGCTTCTGAAAATGGGCATTTCGATTGGAAACAGTTCGCTACTATAGCAGACATACATATATTCTACTACAGGGCCTAACACACTGTTAAGTGCAATACTGCAGTAGAAAATTAAAAAGTGTGCTACATATCCTATGTACTGGTGCAATAATTTGAACAGTAGAATTTGGTGTGTAGTATCAAATCTCCTCGACTCTAGGCACCGTTATACTACTGCACATGCAGAGATATTCATAATTGCTGCAGATTCCGGCAGCGTTTAGGCACGTCCGATCAGGGGTGGTCATCTATCTGGTGTATCGAGGGTAGCCAGCCAGCTTTAAGAGAGTCGCGAACCACAAAAATAATATTATAAGAGCAGGACCAGGAATAATATCTACATTATTATGTAAGTATGAATGTTAAAACGCTATCCGAGGTTTTACCACCTATCCCTAGTGTGTATTATACGCATAATCATACGATGGACGTGAGTGTGTCGCAAATACGAAAAACATATTGCCTAGCCAAAGGAGGGTTGTTTAAATGATAGTATAATATAATATTATTATTTGGAGTGCTGGACTTTGGAAAACTTAGCCAGCCCCCAACCCTAATTGTTATACTGTTTGCTATGCATTATTCGGTTGGAGCTAAAATTATGTAATCATCGCGCACTCGCAGACCAACTTATGTCCCTCTATATATATCAAAAGGGATTAAATTAACTCGTATATTATGAACTATAAGTAACAATAATATTTGCGAAGCTGTAGTTAGCTTTTCGATCTGGCGATCTATATATTATCTATATAGCAGGGATGGCCAGCGACAAAAAAAGTCACGAGCAGCATTGTGAAATGAAAAGTAATAAAAAAAGAAAAGGAATAGGAATAATACCTATTATTATATTAGTAAAAATGTCCAGACGCGAACCATGGATTTGTCAACTTTGATCTATAACTTATCAATTATTAGCAAATACTTAATTAATACGTAGAAACTCACGGATATTATGATGATATGCTTTGAAATGATATGCGCTTTGTCGTCAACTCTACAGCCCGGAAAGTCGTCACTCGTCGCGATCTCTGCAGGGTCCTGAAAAACCCGAGGAGTATAATCTCGCCCCTGCAGCACTGTGGCCGCAGAACGTACCTGTACATAATAATATATGAGTCACGGTTATTATAATAGTTGACAGTTGTGGGTATTTGTTTGGTTTACCTAAGCTGAAGAAAAAAAATTAAAACGTTTGTTTTCAGTCACTAAAAAACCAGCTGAGACGGTCGGTTCGTTTACAGAAGAACTATATAATTTATGTAAATATCGTAAACGTTGAATTATTAATTTCCGTCTTGTGTTCGAATGGTTACGTAAGACTGGACATGAGTCGCGTGTATATAGATCAGAAACTGTGAGATTGTTCCGAAGACGTACACGCGGGGATATTTACAAGAACTTTCGCATAAATTGTTTTACGTGTTCTTTAATATTCGGTTAAAACGATACCCATACAATGTTAATTATTATTATACTTGTATAGAAGAAAATTTCTAATGCAAAAGACTACTCTGTTAGCTATACCACTGTACATATGCATGACTTATATTTTGACATTTTCGACTGATTTTTATTCGACGCCATATTGTGAATGTGGATGTTAAATACATTTTAATGCTCCTTTAATATCGTCACACACTCAAAATATACATTCTCATAAATTATATTATAATAATATGACAGATAAACCACGCGTAACGAATGTAATATTTTTATATTGGACACGGCTTGTCGCGATAAAACACTGTTGATATAATTAATATATGACCCAGATAGCGGACGACGGATTTTGGAAATTTCAAAGTCAAAAATCGACTCGCGTTTGCCTTGACTCCAATAACAATAATAATAATAATAATACATAATGAACTGTGCGAACCTCGGCGCCCGTAGCCCCCGATCGTCTGCCAGATGGTATGCCTATATATACACAGAATTATACACAGAATAAAACGTGAACGTACATATTATATGCGTGTGTGTGCGTGTGTGTTTAGTGGTTCCCGGAATGCACAATGGGAGAAAGTATAACCTTGTCCAGCGCAAGTTTTCCGCTACACGTATTATATTACCTATATATATATAGTTTAATTTTTTTTTGCACGCGTGGGTCGTATAAAATATGTCTAATACATATATAGTTTGTACGGGGTGATCCATTTAACGAGTCATTTTGGAAGACTCTTACGTTTTTGAAAATATTTCTTTCGCATAACCTCATGTCGTTACAAAACAATGATTTTACTTTATTTTATCGTTATCGAGTTTTATTTTTTTTAATGACAACGTCGATTTTAATTTCATATTCTCGAGCAGAATATTGTCCTGATTATTTTGGGCTATAAGTATCAAATTTCGAATAAGTAGAGTTTATTAATACCTATACAACTCATACACTGCTTATCCGAAGTTTGATTTTATACATCGAAGTATTCCAAAAAATAAAAATACGAAGTATTTAGTTTTGGGATAAAGAACTTGTAAATGTATGTTGTCATTAAAAATGTAAACCATAAAAATATATAATATTTATAGAAATATTGTTTTTTTAGCAAATTACTCAAAATTATATTAAAAAAATTCAAAAAAAATTTTAATAATTTTAAAATTAATAAGTGTCTTTTTTAATGGATTACTCGATTACCTACACATACGGCTACTTGTGTCTTTACGATTCGGTTTTGTGATGATAATGTCGTTCGTATACTCGAGGGCCGTCTACAGAATTTTTTTGTTTTCGTTCAATTCCTTATCGACGGTATGACCGTCAGGGCAATATTTAACCTTAACGCTTTTCGTTAGGTATACTCTACCGTTAAAATTGTATAATATTATTCATCATACACGCGCTTACTCATCACTAAATTATTGACTTTCGAGGCGATTATATATTTGTTTGTATTTGCAGACTGGCATTGAGTGAATGTTTGTTATCTAGGTGAATTTCAAAAAATAATAACGATATTATATACAGTGTACATTGGTTTACGCATAAACCGGTCAACTCTTTATTGTTTTTAGAGCGGATCCTCGTTTGGCCTGTTTGTATGGTGTAGTGTAATGCATACACAATTTATTTGCGGTTTTCAATCGAACTATTTAAGTATATCATGTTATATTATATAAATATAAAATCATATACCGATTATAGTACATTTAAAAAGAAAATTGACATGTCCTGCTATATACTGCAAACTTAAAATTCTATCAAAAACAAAATTACACGTCGACATTTAAAACGGCTACTCGGAATCTATTTACGTACTACCAATATATAGGTAATTTATTTGATCGAAAGCCTGTTTATATAGGCTTAAAGTACATGAATACACAATAATATTATATTAACGTCCAATATTCTAAATTTGACTTTAATAACAACAATATATTGCTAATACAACCAATATATTATTATATACTTGATAGTGTGTCTCCCATCAGTATAGTTTACACTTGGGTTACTGTGTGTACAGATTACTATATACCATTCCTGCGTACATATTTGATACACTCGTAGTCAGTGGATTACCTCTCCTTCACTAATATTCACCCCCTCCACATACGATCCTCGTTTTTCATATAGGTACATGTATTTATAATATAGGCATATGATATGTGTGTGTTCATATAATATACATAGATTGGTAAACATATTATTACGGTACATAAAGTATTTACATAAACTATATTTCAACCAGTTACCAGTCTCAGTGGTATCGCGTTTTACGGCTTAATATTCGAACGTTTAATGTTTATATTATGTATAGGTCGCCCCGTGGCCGTTCGCGTTCAGCTGAGGGTGATTGGTGTGGCGGCGGTGTCCGATGGGGTGTGGCCGTCACGTCTAGCTTTTAATAATAATAATATCCACGGCGGCACAGTTCGTTAATTTTTTTCGAAGTTTTAGGTATGCCAGCACTTGCTATTCGAATACACACATACCTACTAAATAATATTATTATGCTGTTTGAGCCTTCAGACGCATCACGAACGTAGGAGAAGGTAGTATCACACGCACACGATATACTCGCATAATATATGATCGCATCGTCTCGCGAGATCGTTTTTTTATACGATTTTTTTTCGCGAAAAAACCGGTTCGCGGCGTCCACGGAACGGCATTTCGCCACACACATGTGTGTAACGACGGGTCGGCACATAGCTGCTGTGGAGAGGAACGCTCGGCTGTGAAAATTACGCACAATAATATTATTATCGTGTATGTGTACCTACTATAATATTATAATATATATGTATATGTATATATAATATATATATATATACATATACATTTTCTCGAGCTGTGTTGATTTTTTACTTATTTGTTATCAGTCGCATGACACGATTTTACCACTGCAAACAGAAACGATCGAAACGTGCTTAGCTATCGACGTTACAATATTATTTAAACTCACGAACATCGCGTCGCATGTTATTCTCAAAAGGGCTGCTCGGTGTCACAATCGTCAAAAAAACTTTTGAAAAAAGCATTTTATTTATTTATTTCAACCTTGATAAATAACGATTTGAGTTTTAAAAGGGGAGTGCAATTAAAATGTAAGCCGCCGAAAAAACATTTGCCGCAACATCCGAGCCTTAACATCCGAGCTTTTATATACCGTCAATAATTATAACAGTACCTACTCATATGATAATATTATTGTTCTCGTCATCATTATCCTTTAATCATCACTCACCGACCGTTGTTTGTTGATCTTTTCTGCAGGTCCTTTTGATCGTCGATCGCAGCGACAGCGACAGCTACAACCGCAGCGGTTAGGCAGCGCGTTCACAGCGACAACGCCGACATGGTGGCGTCCGCGGACCGCCGCGAGAGTTTCGGCGTGGACAGCAGCCTGTTCCACCACCGGAAAAGCAAGACCGGTACCAACAAGCAGGGCAAGGACGCCAACAAGGGCAAGCAGTCGTCCGACGTGGCCGTGTACACGATATCAGTGGTCGGCGGCTATGAGAACCAGGGCTTCAAGCGGGATGACCAGTCCGGCGACGGGGGCCTCGCCAAGCCGCCGCTCGGCAGCATGGCCGACGGCGACGGCGACGACGACCAGTCCAAGGGCAAGTTCAAGATGTCGCCCAAGGAGAAGTGGCGGATCCTGAAGAACGTGTCCACCATCAGCCTGGCGTTCATGGTCCAGTTCACCGCGTTCCAGGGCACGGCCAACCTGCAGAGTTCGATCAACGCCCGCGAGGGCCTGGGCACCGTGTCCCTGTCCGCCATCTACGCGGCGCTGGTGCTCAGCTGCATATTCGTGCCCACGTTCCTCATCAAGCGGCTGACCGTCAAGTGGACGCTGTGCCTGTCCATGCTGTGCTACATACCGTACATCGGCGCCCAATTTTACCCGCGGTTTTACACGCTGGTGCCGGCCGGCGTGCTCGTGGGCCTGGGCGCCGCGCCCATGTGGGCCGCTAAGGCCACGTACCTCACGCAGACCGGGGCCGTGTACGCCAAGCTCACCGACCAACAGGTGGACGGTATCGTCGTCCGGTTCTTCGGGTTCTTCTTCCTGGCTTGGCAGACGGCCGAGCTTTGGGGCAACCTCATCTCTTCTTTGGGTAAGTACATAAGATATTTTAAACTTAAAACTTCTCATACCTAATAGACCTACAGCAAGTATCATAAGTGCATTTCCGGAAAATTCGATTTATCCTTAAAAATGTGCTGAATAATTAGTGCTTCTATAAACGGTCGTAAGTCATAACTCACTCAATCGAATAATTAAAAAACATCTTCTCAGAGCAATTTCATTTAATATCATTAAAACACTTCCAACTTAAATGTCATCAACAAAAGTCGATTCTATGAGTTTGCACAACGTATCGTTCATATTATAATATATATTATGTGGTCATTAATTGGTCCAGTCGCGGTTTACAAGTCAGCATATATATAAATAGGTATGTATATATTATCTGCAGTGACAGAAATAAAAATTTGACCCGAACGCGTAATTTTATTGATTACAATGATATGCTGAAAAAAAAATCACGACGAATTTGCTCGATTCAGCACAATATAGAGTGCAACGTGATAAAAAAAAAAAAAAAGCGAGTGCTTCAGTTGCAGTAACCGATACGCTGCAGGTCGGCGACACCGGATCGACATGACAGTGTATTATAATATATATGGACACCTATAGCTGCACCCAGCTATACAATATTGCGGTTTTATCAATTTAATAATAATAATAATCGTAGTGGTCGTATACCTAGGTGTATACGATATATATATACTTACAATAGGTGGCTCGTTTGTTTATTTATCGTAATAATAATATATAATATATTAGGCACGGATAGACGACCGTGAACTGACGTGTTATGTCGTTGCATCTGGCTCATATTGCCACTCACACTTGTATAGCTGTAAATCGAAATCAATTAATACGATTTATGTAATGCAAAATGCAAATAGTAACTGAATCACACGTACGTAATATTATAATGTAGGTAACCATGTGTTGCCATTTACTGTACCCATTACTTGCATTTGTTGTCGGTCGCTTTTCAGGCCACTGCAGGTATATTCGCCGTCTGCCGTTTTAACGCGCGTCACTGCACCGTCCCTATCGCAAATGTCAAGGCGAAATGTATAATAATCATTATATATTATTATTATTATTATTATTATTATATTAGTAAATACACGTGTATATATAGTACGGTCTCTACACCGTTGTTCACTACCCCTCTTGCAGACCGACCGCTCTATTGCCACCTATTAAGTATTGTATTATTATATTATATAGGTACTGAATATTTACTCTAATAATCGCGCTCTTAAGGCGAGCAATCTTTCAAAATATTTGTGACACGAGTGATATAGGTATGCGGCATATGATAACCTACTAAAATCATTATACCGTATAGTTGTAAAATCAGAAGACATTCAACAAATAAAATCATATAAGAAAAAAATATATAAACCTTCTGAATTCCCAGACTAGATCATGTTATTATTATTATTTCGCAAATGCGATTCCTACCGATGATTGCCAAAGCTATTCGAAATCGATTAACTATCTCCGACACCTGTTTACATTTCGCAATAACCCTGAATAACGGTTACTCGCAGCCCTAATTTCTATCCGACATGAGAACAAATTTTCACGTTGAGACATATTAACATTTTATACATAGTATGTACCTTTATGATATCTTGACACGGCGATTTTTTCAAAACACGTACATACTGCACAGTGTTGTATTAACGTCGTAAAACCGAATATTGTTCGATTAATTTGTTGTTTAGTGTGGTTACGCATTTGAAAATTTTCACGGTTAACGTTAACATAAACCTAGTACTCGAGGATGAACTGAAACTTCTTTCAGATTCATTCAACTGATAGAGTATATTAGATTTGTATTGGGATAAAATAAAAAAATTTACATTTTCGATTAAAATTAATTTATTACCTTTAAAATTATCAAACTTGTTGTGTGAACCACTATGGTGGTACGATTATGACCCCATCGACCCACAAGTAATGACTATTCAAATAAATAAAAATTAGATTAATTTTGTTCCAATACCTCACAACTGGTATATATACCTGGTATACAGCGATTGGCAGACACAACAGCACAATGTTTTCCCTTCTCAGACGGCGGCTGTAAACAAAATTAACTCAATTTTTTTCCGACAACTAAAACAAACCAATAGTACCAACTTATTTCTCTTATAACCAGGCAAGTCCATATTGTATTGAAATAATTGTTCAGGGGACCGTTTCAAAATTCACAGAAAATAATTAACGAAATGTACCTATGATCTCAGAATGAAATATTCGGGTTTGTAGGGTCGTTATTTGTACGAATATAAAAGTAATTCTTCCATGAAATCGTTTTCGTGGAAAAATAAGACGCTCCCAGCATTTCACTAAATGTTCGCGTGAGGGTAAAGAAGTTTCACTCCAATAATATTATCCGCCGTCGGATGATTGAATCAAAAATATAGTAAACTTAATACCCTTGCAGTGCAGAGTTACGTATATACATGGTTACTAAGCTACTATCATCACTGCTTGATTATTCTATGACGTAACGGGATTTTTGTTTTGTGCACAGTATTGTCTAGCGGTGCCCACGGTGGCGGAAGTGGCGACAACAGCACGATGTTATCCGAAGAGGAATTGCGATTGTGCGGTTCAAATTTTTGCGTGATGGGCAATCACGCCATCGACAACCTGGAGAGGCCGCCAGACTCGGAGATATTCGAGATCAGCACCATATACCTCACGTGTATCGTACTGGCCACCATCATAATAGCCCTGTTCCTGGACCCACTTTCCAGGTAAACTTTTTTTAGAAATAAGCTCTCCAGCGAGTAATACGACTGTATTTAACTCTTGGAGAACGAAACCTTCAAAAATAACACATTATATGATACCCATATGTTGCATATTGATTGTGAAACCTCACCCCTAATCAAAAATATCGTATTTTAGCCACACCAGTGGAAATTATAATATAGTAGTATTTGTCTGCAATGCGACGCGAGTTTAAAGTCTTAATTAGTAACTGCGGTGTTTGATATGATACCCTAGAGGTATATGTACACATAGAACTAGCTAACCAGTTCAAACTTTTAAAGCCGACCCTAGATTGTCGATGGAAATCGCTTTCGTCGATGAACTCACTCTAGATTCACCCAAACAGACGCAGCAGACGATGATCGTTCCTCTCGGGCCACCGCGTATGTATATGACGTTTTAGACGGCTCCTGATAGCAATAAATACAAATAAATTAGAGCAACCGTCACTTTGTCATATATATATATATTTAGCCACATATGGCTAGGTAGACCTTTCTGCTAGAAACCTGACGATTTTTGTTTTTCGTTTGAACATTTGATTTGGTCACATATAATAGAGCCAACGACAACCCACATGCACACAGGACGATCAGACGCTATAATATAGTGTTCCAAAAAATGATGAGGAATTCCCAATCACTTTTGTTATCCACGTAGAATGTCTGACTAGACTATAACATTTTTGTGCCAATTCAAATTTTCGCCATTAATATTGTTTGCCAATCCTCCTGTGTGTATCAAGTCCACATGTAATAGACTTATGAACACTCACTCACACACACACTCATTCCCAAACACCAGAGTACAAATGTACCTATATACCCAGTACTCGCGGTGCCGCGTACATCGAAGTGTGTATCTATGTATAATATTTCAATAAATATCTTCGGAACCGGATAGGATATTACATAGTGATTTTACAAGGCAGATTTGACCTCAGCACGAACAAGGCAAAACACGTACTTATCTTTTATTGTATATAGTATAAGACTCGTTTGCATCGCGCGTTCTTACTATCGTAAAACAATACACCTTTGTATTATGCACTCTCGTAACTTATTTTAAATACCTAATATATATATATATATACACACACGTGTATATTATATAAACCTGAAAAGTTATTTGGCCTTGGCTGTGGTCTATAACTGATATTTCGAACCGATCGTAAAGCGGCCCGTGCTATAATAATGTGGCCATCGTATATTGGCGGATTATACCGTTATCGAACAGTCACCTTTAAATCCCATAAAAGAAAACCAACATCCATAGAACGTTATTTTTTGTTAAAAGTTATTCAATATTGACATATCGTTCAACACATGTCATAGATTGATTTTTACACCACTGCTATTCGTATTTAAGTCACCTATCTATCATACATATATAGTCCCCACTAAAGAGAGGTGTAACGAAGTAACAAATGTATAACACATGATTCAACTATTATTAATAAATATACAAATTATTAATTAAAAATTTACATTTTCAAAATAAAAATAATTGTTACATTAAAATGAAAAAAATATCCATGTACAACGATTCGTTTGCTTTTGTCATATATACGACGAACGATGAACACAAACTAAATAAACTGTGTGCCTACCTTCATAATTAAAAATACTCCAATGATAATATTAAAAACCAGGACAATTTTTTAGTTTATTTTTGTAATACATACCATCCGAAGTTCGTTCCTCAATGTTTCACATTTGAATTTTTGTGTAAACTCTCTGGGTATCTATGTTATATTATATTATGTCGTGTATAATTAAATAATACTAAAATAATTATTTATAACAGAAGGTATTTACGGCTCAAATAATTACCTTATAATGATATGTACACATAAAATTACTGCAAATAATGTATCTACTTATCAAAAAAAAAGACAAGGAGGAGATCTACGTAGGTTATAACTAAATATACGTGTTACTCAACTACCTGTATAATAATAATAATAATAATAATAATACGGATGGGAACTATTAAAATGCTTGAGTATAAAATATATAATATATGTAATTGCAATTTGCAATAATACGAGTAATAGTGTTATTAGTAGGAACCTATAGTAGTTGGTACCTATATGCGAAAACTAAAAGAACGTCTATTCTGGAAAAAAAATAGTCATTTCAAACAGGAATTATTTAGTCTCATAAATATTTATAAACTGAAGAATAATAAACGAAGATTGTTTTGTTTTACCAGGTTAAGTGCAAGTAGTTGAAAAAAAAATTATAATAAATCACTAGTTAAATTCAATGCGGTTCGAAACTTCGAAAAACATATAATATGGAGGTATCAGTATGTAAACGGTATACCCAGCGCATCCACAAGGGGGTTGCTGTTGGATATATATATATATATTTTTTTATTCGTTAATTATTAAGAAGACTTCTGCACAATGTATAATATACATGTTATTATACTTATTTTTACTTAATATTTTAGGGGATACTCGTATCGCTTGTAATGTGTTGTGTTTTATTGGAAGTTCTGTAATAAAGGGCGTGCAAAAACATTTGGTACACGTGATAAAAATTTGATGTGAGGAGCGTCTTGTATGTACAGCTACAATAATGTCATATTGATGTGAGAGGACCATGTACTTAAAATTTTAATATTATTGTATTGAGTTTTACAAACAATCTGAATGGCTATACCGAACTATGTTATCAGGCGCTATATAAATGTATAATACACAATAATACGTCCAAACATATTATATACATAGGTATATATATGACATACGTATATAATATAATATAATATTATATTTATCACGCCGTAGTGAGATAATATATTTATAATCAGTCGCCTTCGAGTTACGAGCGTTCCCTGTGGAATAGACGTCTTGCCTCGGGTATACCGCGGTTTACGAGGTTTTTTACCCTTACCACCTTTTTTCTGTCTATTTATTTAATTCTATTTTTTTTTCGCTCCGAGGTGTGCGTGTACACTAATTTAAATTCACTACACACAATATATATATAATAAATACTATATAGTGTATATTATTATCGCGCTTCTGATTGCGTCCGCGCGAATCCGGAGTCCTTAGGCGATCCGGGTATGGCGAAAAAAAAATAAACAACGAATACACGTGACCGCGAAAACAGAATAACGGTCGACGGCAAACATATTTTTATTAATATAATAACGACACCGCCGCACTATACATATTATTATACTTCCTCGAAAAGTGCTCGATTGCTGTACTGACGACTCTTGGACAAATTATATAAATACCTAATAATATAATATAGTTGCCTTGATACATTTTAGCAAAGTTTTTACACTTCGTGAAGTATGAAAATAAATAAATTATCGAGTAAAACTTTTTCATGAAATCGACGATCACATTTCACATCGTTTGCGATTTGGTCATCCACACGTAAATTAGTTTTTTTTTATTATTATTATACTGTTGATATTTCACCTAACAAGAGCAGTTTTAAAAATCATTTATGTTAATTTCATTCACACATTAATAAATTGTTATTTTATTTCCTCTAGTGCAATTTTTATAGAAAGATCTTGGCAATTAATCAAATATTATGATCATTATTATAGATTAAATTATGTAATACATTTTTTCAAAAATATAAACTCATATTTTTTAATAATGTATTCTAAATAGTGCTTTTTCGGATTTCGAAGAATATAGTTATTAGAGTAGTAATTAAAATCCGTTCTTAAATTAAAAATTTAAAAAATATATATAATTATGTGTTATTAATTTAGTGTTACACCATTTTTACAGATAGGTACAGTTCTTTATATACGTTTACATTTATGTTGGATCGCATTAAACTGAACAAGTGGTTAATTAGTGAAAAAAATTACACGATGCAAAATTTTGGAGCAAATTAAATAGTTCAACCACTTCATGGGTTATTTTTAAACTTCACGTTGTACGAAAAACCAAATATTGGTTTCAATTTTATGAAATGATGAACTTTTTGTGAAAAGATCGATTTTGCCAACGTGGCTTTAATATTATGATGTGCCTTTTATGAGTAATTATATAATAATACTATATATACACACCCATATGCTTAAAATTTAAATGTATTATCATTTAAACCTAGACAAGCTGTAATATTTTTGCTGGTTGACAATTTTTGAATTAATAAAATACGTTAACACACTTCACAACAACTGTGACGAGTTATATATTACCACGCTTTGTTAATTATTTATTACCTGCATTATAATATTACGATATGCAGTAACTTATCTCGCACCTATAAATATGTATCCAGGAAAGAGGCCGAATTGTAATCACCAGAAAATCATCTGAAAGCATAATATATATTATTATAAAACATCAAAGATGTATGAATAAGTGAATAACCTATAGGCTACAAGCAATTCTATATAATATTACAAACGCCAATGGACAAATGAGACTTTGTTTGGGGTTAACTAATTTTGCATGCACAAGAACGTATTTCAATAGTAAATAAAGTATATAAGGAACACAAAACAAAAAACAAATAATTATAAACACGCCATAATATGTGCGGTATGCGCGCCGGCTCGTCTTCGGTACATACGGTAAACACATTCACACACACATATATATATATATATGTATATAATAATGTTATAGAGAAAGTAGTAGGTAAACTCTAGCCGCGTGTACACAATAATAATGATAATGATTGTAATGTCCATTGTTTGCGATTGTAGTGGTGGTAGGGTTGATAAGTGGAGAGTGGTAGGGATTAAGAAATACAGAGTGGTTTTCGCACTGTTTCGAAAACACAGCCCCCCCCCCTCCCCCCCGATGGATTTGCGAACACTCGAAGACGATGTATTTCGGTCTGTACTATGGTCAGTGTCTACTGGTCAGTGTTTATCATATTTTTATACTATGCAAGTATTAAAGTAAAAAAAATAGTCGATTAAGTATAATATACCTATTATACCTACTTATTTGCCGTATACATTTATACGTGTCTCAAATACA